GAGAGAGAGAGAGAGAGAGAGAGAGAGAGAGAGAGAGAGAGAGAGAGAGTCAAACTATGAGTTGGCGACGGGACGAGACAAGAGGTAAAAAAGAACAGAAATGAAGAGGGGAAAAAAAAAGAAGCGAAGAGAGAAAAGAAGCGAAGTACAAGAAAGAAGACGAGCACCAAGAGTAAGATGAGCGTGAGGAGTACCTGTGGAAAACGAACAATTCGCGAGCGGGCACAAGAGGAAAAGAAAACAAGAGACACATGAGAAAGAAAACACGCACGAGGACGAAGATGAGCATAAGAAGCTGCACGGTATCACACGTCTTACAACGTCGGCACAAGAGAGGCGACGTCAAAGCCGGCAGCCACAATGACCTTTCGACCTTCTCGGGCCTACACCACTCCCGGGGCTAGGTCCCACTTACACGAATTAAGAGATGTTGACCGTAGATAGCACAGATCAACGGTCAGAATCTCGTATTTCGTGCAAGTGGGACCTTGCCCCCGAGTTTGGAAAATTTTCGGGAGTGCTCCCGAAAGTGAAAACCCCGTCGAGAGTGCCTTTCGCCACACTAAGGGCGTACACACACAGGGGTAGCATTCTACTGTAGTAAAATCTGCTGAATTTTCTTTCCCGTGTTTGCTGTGCTGAAATAATACCCCGCCGGGTCACACATGGGTTGCAAATCAGAAAGGGACACGATCGGGACTCTCTGGCAATTGCAAAATTGGTGCCTCTCGTGGTCACAAAGCGCGGAAATTTTCTTTTACCAATTCCCAAAAGGCGAAAGAGAAATTGCGACGGCCAAAAGAGAAATTGCCACCACCTCTGGAGGTGGTAGCAAAATGCCCATCCCCGCGGCCCCCCAGGCCGCTGACAAATGCTACCCCGTTTGCAATTTTGGTGGTCGGAAAACCCTAGTGTGACGCTAACAGCATAGCAGATTTTACGATTTAGCAAAAAAAACGGCTAGTGTGAGTATGCCCTAACAGGGCTGGGCTCCAAGTCTGAAAATGTCAGTTGCCACATGTGGACACGATGGGTGTGAAGCAGTCTGCCAGAAGTCCGTTTGTCCCTTCCAGCCCCAGTCCCGAATCTGGGATGAAACTCGGAGAAGCGGAGGTGGTCTCTCGAAAAGGCAGGTTTGCAGGCGGTGACTTGGGGAGTGCTCTCGGGAGCCCCATTCTGACAGCTCCCCAATTCGACCTGACAGATTCTTTTTGTTTTTTTTTTTCACATTCAATTCCATTCTGACAGCTCCTGGAGTTATCCCGCAGCATCAGCCGGTGTAGCTTCGGCCTGGACCCCACTGCCCAGCGCCCTGGAAAAGTTTGGGCACTGTAGTGTTTTCCAGACCCCACCTGTGTTGGAAACCGGTGTGGAAAGTCAGCCCGGGAAGGAATTCCAGACCCCACCGTGCTTGGAAGCAGGTCCCGGTGTCGTAGCAAACACCCTTACAAGGGTGTTTGCCGTTCTTTTTAAACCACCAGTACCTGGCCCAGCTATCGAGTCCCAGCCTCGGCGGACCGGTACGCCGATCCGTGCCGAGGCTCGGACTACCGGGCGCAGGCATCCCGAACGTCGGAGTGAAACGAACGAAAAAAACGAAAAAAAAAAACGAAAAAAAAACGGAAAAAAAAAAACGAAAAAAAGTATGGCAGTGTATATTCCCACGCTATAGCACCAGATTCATTCGATTTTGCTCATCCTATGGA